TTTTACTTACAAGGTCAATGTGACCTTTGACCTTTGACCCCTTTACCAAAAACTCAATAGGGGGTCATCTGCTGGTTCACGACCAATAATTCATACAAAGTTTGAAGTTCCTAGGCCTAAGTCTGTTTTTAGTTTTAATTGATCGGAAAACGTTTTTACCCTACAAGGTCAATGTGACCTTGACCTTTGACCCCTTGACCCCAAAATCAATAGGTCATCTGCTGGTCATGACCAATCACCATACCAAGTTTTGAAGTTCCTAAGGCCTAAGGGTTTTAAAGTTATTTGATTGGAAAGCATTTTTACCTACAAGATCAACTGTGAACCTTGCCCTTTGACCCTTAACCCCAATATCAATAGGGGTCATCTGCTGGTCATGACCAATCACCATACCAAGTTTGAAAGTTCCTAGGTCTAAGGGTTCTTTAGTTATTGATCCGAAAACTGTTTTTATCCTAAGAGGTCAATGACCTTGACCTTTGACCCCTTGACCCCAAAATCAATAGGGGTCATTCTACTGATCATGACCAAATCACCATATCAAGTTTGAAGTCCCTAGGGCCCTAAGGGTTCTTTCGGTTATTGATCGGAAACCGTTTTTACCCAAGAAGGTTCAATGTGGACCTTGACCTTGACCCCTTGACCCCAAAATCAATAGGGGTTTATCTACTGATCATGACCAATCACCATACTAAGTTTGGAAGTTCCTAGGCCTTAAAAAGTTCTTTAGTTATTGATCGGAAACCGTTTTTGCTTACAAGGTCAATGTGACCTGACCTTTGACCCCTTGACCCCAAAATCAATAGGGGTCATCTACTGATCATGACCAATCACCATACCAAGTTTGAAGTTCCTAGGCCCTTAAAGTTCTTTAGTTATTGATCGGAAAACCGTTTTTGCTTTACAAGGTCAATGTGACCTTGACCTTTGACCCCTTGACCCCAAAATCATAGGTTCAATTACTGGTCATGACCAATCACCATACCAAGTTTGGAAGTTCCTAGGCCTAAGGGTTCTTTAGTTATCACTCGGAAACCATTGGTCTACGGACCGACGACCGACAAGTGCAAAGCAATATACCACCTTTTCTTCGAAATGGGGGCATAATAAAATAATCCTGTTTTAATTTATTTCTGTCCCATTATTGCAAATAAATTACAAAAAAATTTTAGATCTTTAAACAAAACAACAGTTTCCTCCCGCCAACGAAAAGTCCGTTTTTGGGTAATGGATAATGATTTAACGAACATAGTTCACTTTGTTTATAAAATGCCCCAATTTGTAAATATTTCATACCATATTTGTCAGATAAAGATTTTTAAGTAGGTATCGGCAAATTTCACTGTCTTTTTATAATTTAAATTTGTTATTTTAAGACAGCTCTTGTCGAATTTTTCGGCCATGGAATAGTAACTTAACGCCGATAAAATGTCGTTTCCGTTGCGTTGTCATTTTTTGGGAAAGTGAATATGCAATAAAGCAGCGCAGTAATAAAAATTACTTCTGTTTTTATTCATACTGATTTAACTGATCAATTCCTTGTGCATTTTGGCATTATATAAAATGGGTAACATCTATACCTAACAATATATCAAACTGTTGAAAGAGACATAATAAACAAATCAGATAATCAGTGTTCAGTTACCGCTCAGTTGGCGTATAAAGGGGCACAACCAATTGATAAGTACACAAGGTTATTCACACCTTCGCCGTCCTGTATTGTCAGGGTAATTATCTATATATTTCACTTTGTAGTCCCCTATCAACCGTCCGATATTTGGTTTTTACAGATTCCAGTATTGTCAATGTTTAATACAATACTTTAAAGAAGGAAAAATTTGGGACTGAATTATTCGTCCGGTATTTCGAGAGTTCCGATTTTCTCAGCGTCCGGTTTTCCCAACTTTCACTGTACATATTTATGAGCACTTGACCATGTAATACTCTAATGTATAAGTTATGTCGTATTGTGAATTTTAAATGAACAATAACTGTTTTGTAACAAAATACAAAGTATGTAAAAAATAAAACAGACTCAAGAAAACACACCTGAATTATTGCATACAAAGTCAGCCTGGTATCTGTCCATAAAACCATATGGTCCGTAATCTATGGTCAATCCCATAATGCTCATGTTGTCTGTGTTTAATACCCTATAATAACATAAAACCATGAACTTTCTCATCTGTAACAGCTGAAATCTTAAATCTATTAATAGATTAAAATGTTTACTTTAAGAACTACATCAATGTGACTGTCAATCCTGTGTTTGTTTGGGGTTTTTTCAGCCAGGCAACTCTTATTCTGCTCATTTATTATACATCTTTCTAGCTCAAGATGGACAGTTTCGAAATCAAAGTTTACTACTCAAAATCAAAAGGGGTAAAGGTTTGGAAGTGAAGAGATAAGGGGGAAATGTATAATCTCAAAATGAATGGCAATGACCTAGCAATACTAAAATATACTAAATTTATTGCTTTGAACATAAGGAAGTTAAGGGAGATTCACATTGTTTTTTGTAGGTTTTTTTGGATTGAGCATTTAATGCAACTATTTAATAGTAGTGAAAGATTTAAATGCTTCTCAATGCATTTTTCAAGCATTTATGATGAAAATGGCACAAGAATAAAACAATTCAGCTTCTATAAGCTAGCTGGATAGCTTCCTCACATAACAGAATTTAATTTCTCTGGTAGGATTTGAACCTACAGCTGTAAGGAGCAATTCTAAGTGTGTGACCGTAACCACTCAGTCATGGAAATACCTTACAGCTTACCTTCACAACAGCTTCAACAGAACTGTTTATGACAGGTGTTTTATCATTAGATTTTATAGATTCTTAAACTGTACAAATATAGATCTAGTTAGCTTATATCCATCAATAGAATGTAAATCTATATTTAGATTTGTTTCAATAAGGAAATCTTTAGTTTAAACAATATCTAATTGTAATCTTATCTTTTACATAATAAAGTACATAAAATAAAATTTACAGATTGAATTGGATGCTTAAAACGTTTTTTTTTTTTTTTTGAAAATTTTCTCTGTAGAAAATCTTTGACAAACAATTTTAGCTGTAATAAATGGTACCAATAAAATCTTACCCGTGACAGAAGCCTACGGACTGCCAATCAGCTACCAGCCTAGCTGTTCTTCTCACAACTTCACTCCAAAACTCAAAATACATCTGTTCTTTATCTGCTGAATATTTGTCCCAAATCTATAACACATTATGAAACATTTCATAGTGTCCTTAAGATATTTATGTGATAAAACTACATAAACCAAAACAAATTTTCAAAGATAACCTTTATCATGCTTAATATCTTAAATGGCCTTGTCAATATTTCATTCTGGACAAAGCTATTTATCATTTTTAGGGAAATTTACAATATCATTATTGAGTGAATAATGAACAGTGCAGACCATGAAAAGAAGGCACAGATCATGGTCTGCACTGGTCCCATGGGTAGAATTAGTTGCTGCTGTTTGAAGCAGTTCCATACAATAATAATAATAACAATAATAATAATGATATGACTCTTACATCTTGGCATCAGATATTACTCTAACAATGTAAGTGATGTCATGTGAAATATGGCTTGTTGTGATTTTTACTACAACATATCTGCACTCAAACCGATGAATTTATAAATTACTACAAAAATTAAAGCCATTATTTTTCAGTATACCGCAATTATATTTCAACATAGTATTTCATTTGTTCATGTGATATAATAAAATAACCTACCTCTGTGTAGAAAGTTTTAATTGCATAATCAAGCATTTGCCTTAAAAGTTCTTCATTCCCAACACTTGGTCCTTTTCTGCCAGTCTCTGCTGACATAGGTTTGAAAATTTCGAAAGAACCAAACCTACAAATAAATACATTTGGAATATAAAAAAAAATCTCTTACAACTAATAAAACTTCAAAGAAAACAAATGTAAGCATATTGCAGTAAACCTTTTTCATTGTAATTATTTTATCTTTTAAGCGTAAATTTATTAAGCAATATAGTCCTTGTAACCCTAAAATTTGTATAATGGACATGTCCTAGTTTGAATTTGGAATTTACCAATTTGGAATTTCCCATTATTTATGTGAGGGGTGTTGATATCCAAATACTAAAATGAAGCAGCCAACAGTATAAAGTCAAGTCAGATTTCACTTGATGTACAGGTTTGCCTGGTTCTTTACTGGTGACATAGGCAAGTTATTAGTTTATACAGATCTTTGTTTTTTAGTTCAATTGTGAAGAAAACTATAAGCTTAAAGAAACACTCTGAAATTTGTTCATGTAACCAACCAGTACAAAGCAATGACTGTAAAGTTTCTTGTTCAGAAAAACAATAGCATTCCCCTGACAAAGTTTGATCACATGCAGACATCAATTCTAGATTAAATGAGTTAACCACTTGGCCACATTGAGGACATTAAGACATGCTCAAGTATCAATTCATCCGGCCATTCAAATGAAGCCGCGTCACGACCAAAACCAACATAAGTGGTTTTGCGCATCACAAGCGCAGTCTGATCAGGATCCATGCTGTTCACTATCAGTTTCCTACTTGTAACAGAGTTGCTAAGCGAACAGCATGGATCCTGATCCGGACTGCGTGGATGTTGCAGGCTGGTCTGGATCCCATGCTGGTGGCAAACCCATTGCGTTGGTTTTTTGTCATGGCACAGCTCAATGGTAAATGGTTAAAAACAAATTATTTCCAGGAGTATGAAAAATTTTCTCCTTAATACCACAAAGAAATGAAACAAGTAGCAGTTCCTAAAAGATCTTTACTCTTTTTTTCAAAACAAAAATCCATTAACATACATGTAGATGTACTCACATTAAATTTAAATGAATGAAATTAAAAATTAAAAATGTCTACCTTAGAAAGGTTGGGGTTGCAATTCTGAAAACTGTGTAAAATTTTCTCATTTTTTGGGGTTACCCCCCGGGAAAAAAGAAAATCTCTGACCACGTAGTTTTCTGAGGGTAACACATGTGCCAGCTCGAGTCGAGCCAATACCTAAATGGTGCATAGCCTGAAATGGATACAGAATGTAAAATTCACTTGCATACAGTCTCTAGGTACAGATTTCAGGCCTGTATGACTCATGTTAGGGTGAAATAAAATTAGCAGCACATCAAACAGAACAAAAAAAAAAGGACTCTTGTTTGGGTGAAATAAAATTAGCAGCACATATAACAGTGCAAAATGTAGTGATGTATTAAAAGTATGATGACCAATGAAGACAGAAAAGGATTATGTTTGTAAATAATATGATCTAAATTTACTGATAGCAGATTTTCAAATGCATATTTTCCTTATTTAGTTCATACAGAATTTATTATGATTTGTGTAGGATGCTATAAGCTTATAGACACACTTTTGAATATGTTCCTTTAACCAAGCAAAAGAAGGTAAAGAGTATTCGTTTCTACTTTAAAGAGAAAGTAAAAGCTTGACTCTGATAGGGTTTGAACCTACATGGTCATTAGTCCTTAAATTATTAGTCTGACACTTTAAAACACATTATACAAAATGTTAGAACTGATTTTACTGGTGAATTAAAGATACATATCATACAAAATGCTTTATCAAGAAATAATCTCTATGATTAATATTGATGATTCATAATCAGCCAAGTCTGTCAAATGATTGGTCACTTACCTCACTGCATAGAAACTCCCTTATTGTACTTCTTAAAACTTTTCTACCATCAGAATGTCTAGAATAAGGTGTTGGTCCCGCACCTTTCAACTGTATCTCCCACCTCTCATTTTTCTCATTGATTACTTCACCTAAATACCTACAAAAATAGAATAGTTCATATAAATGCATACACTTAAAGAATCTGAATATGAATCTTTAAAAAAGCTCAATTTATCCCTTATGTTAAAGGGACTATTACAGGACTAGAGATAATTTTTCAAGCTTAATGTTCTATTTGATGTAGTTCAAGACCAAAAACTTGTGTGTGAATTTCAGATCATTAGCTTACTCTGTTTTTCAGAAGAAGAAAAAATTCTAAGTAAATGAAATCTAAATAACCCAAAATTGAAAAGCCTTCTAATGCTCTTTACTCAAATCGAGCTAAGAATAGCACAAAAATATGATTTTCAGTTTACTTCTTTGTATATTTCCTTTTTATCTTTTGCATTAGTTCAAGTCCCCCAGTGAACTGTATAAGAATTCAAAATTTATGTTTTTAAGCTTTTGGACCTCAGTGGAGTTCCTTTAAACAAATAAGCAGTAATCCATAATTGAGTGTTCAAGACAATGTTAGTCTTGGCAGGACAATTTGTGGTTAAGTGACAGTTCCATATAGTTAAGTAGTACGAACAAACATCTAATGATGTGAATCACCAAATAAATTTATATTTTCATTAAGACAAATAAGTATTTTAATGTGTTTTCCTGCAATACACATTTTGAAAATAAGTGAAGTGATTTGTTAGGTTTATATATTGATGTTTTTTTTTATTTCAAATTTGTTACCAGTTAAAAAAAAAATAATTACTAAATATTTAATTTAGCTCTCTCTCTTGACTTATGTGTATGACACATTTACATCTTATCCTAGTAATATTCAAATTGTTTTTGAAAATAGAACACCCATCCAGTAAATATCTTCAATCTATATTGTATTTATCTTAACAATAAATAATCTAAAGGCTCATACATTGCAGCACCATCACCAAGCTGTCCCGAGAAGTAGCCAAATTGATGTCCACAGTAACAATGAGCTGCAGTTTGACTGCCAGGTAAAAGTTTGTTTCCGCTGAAATACTCCGCTGCATCTGGTCTCTTCATTTCATGGCCATACAGATCTAACAATGCCATAGCACTCGGTGAATACGCAACCATTTTTGGATTATCTACAGGTGCAGGATTTACTAAAGAAAAACATGCTCCGGGTACCTATAATATCAAAAATAAATCATTAATATACTTAATAGATTAAAACAATCAATTTGTACTAACCTTTTGCAGGATGTTTAATTTCTAAATATCATGCGCTACATTCGCAAGTCTTTAAAGGATTAACACTTATATAATATAGGTCTTAATCACACAGATATTGCATACAAAAAAAGCTGTTGCTTAATCAAATTACTGTTCAAATACTTCAGCAGAAACTTATTTCTGCTATATCTGTGGAAGACTTTGCATCCATATTGAACGCAGATTTAAGATGCACAGAAACTTAAATTGTTCTATCTGCAAGTGCTGTATTTATATATTATTTAAATAGACAAAATCTTTCACAGTGTCCACTGACACCTGTTCATCCTACTATTTTAAGGCATCTTGTAGTAGTGAATGAAGTCAACCATATATCTCCACTGAAGATTCAGATTATCACATGATAAGCTTATTTTTCTTTGATGTTCCTCAGCTGTTAAAGCCAGTAACATGGCTTGGTAATTACTCACAATTTGTTATCTCCAATAAAGCATGCATGTTACTTTCTAAAACTGTGTATTACATCAAATGTGTTATGCAAGTTCTGTGACAATAGACAACAAAACAAACAAGTTAAGGGGCTATATTATATACTGCCAGACACCATGAGGCTGGAAAATACATGTAGTAAATATATTTAGATTAGTGATGGGGAATAGGGGAAGGGCTAGTCTCTCAAAGTGTGATCCAGATATTTTTTAGATGAGCAATGTCTTTTTGACAGTAGTAAAATCAAAACAGTCTGTTAAATGGGTAAAACCGTTCACATAATTAACATACATGCCATAATTTTTAGACTAATTTCCGGGACACTTTTCATTTAGAGGTGGGGCATTGATCAGCAAACATATTTTTTTTTAATTTACATAGTGGCATACAACCTGAATGTCAGACATAATCCCCTTCGGACAAAATCCCCTTCACCTACCCGGACAAAATCCCCTTCATGGGTGGACATAATCCCCTTCAAATTTTTGCAAGGCTGGACAAAATCCCCTTCATTACCCGGACAAAATCCCCTTTTTTCATAGGTTTCTAATGAATTAATATGCTCCATAAAAATTGATGAATAATGTATTATTATACTCCCTAAAAATTGATAAATAATGAACTTTTGTTTTTTTATTTATAATCATATGTCCACCCATGAAGGGGATTATGTCCAGATATACAAAAATACATGAAGGGGATTTTGTCCGAAGGGGATTATGTCCGTACACCATACAACCTATATTACCGGTAGTTACAACTTGCAAATTTAATGACAACATAAACAAAAGACAAAATGTCAATAATCTTATCATTAACAGTTTTTCTATCTTTTTTACGTATTTAGGCACCGTCAATTCAATCAGTCACAAAATAGAATAAAGCTATGTTAACTAAGGACAATTAGCCATGTCGTTTACCTGAAACATTTGCTGAATCTTGTAGATTTCATCACCTCATATTAAGCGGTAATTTTCACGGTGTTTGACCACTAATAAACTGCCTGCAGGCGGATTAAATTTATGCTGGCCAGTTGTTAATTACAGTGTATGACACCTTCTCTCAGGAAGCCCCAGGGAGTAAATAATTAATCTTTTAATTGATCAAAATTATTGCCGATAATTGTTTGTTGGAAGGGACACATAGATATGCCAATCAAAGGATTAGTGTCACAATTGCAATGTTGTAAGGGGATAATCGTTTGTTATTAACGTTCTAAACTTGACAATAAAATTATTTAAAAATGTAAAATTTATTGCTTTAAAGTAGATTATTTTAGACTTTTTTTTACCGGGACATAAAACATCTCCGGGACACCTCTGAGACAGACACCTTATTTCCCCGACTTTCCCGGACATCCGGGACGTTATGACATGTATGTAATTAATTAGGATTAGTAGGGTTAGACCACTCAGGTCTAGAACAGTTTATTCTAGATCATGTACGCACTTCTGCTTAAAAAGTATAAATCTTGGGTTATCTCTACAGGCAAATGTTCTCGCCTTGCGTCTTTGATCATTTTATGTAGAGAATGATATATACATGTGACCCTCCATGATACCCCCAAGGCAATATTTCCACTTATCAGCCGTGGTGCATTACTATTATAATTTACCTGTCTTATTGTGTTTTCCTTCACTGGATCTATTGGTAAAGACTTTAATGCAAGATTATCAAACTTCAGTGTTTCAAATGATGCCATTGTTGAAAATGCACGAACTAATGTGACGTAATACTTTCTGAACGAAAACATAAATTTAAAGGTGTTATTATATCAATATTAGCAGTTACTAAGAATAAGAATTAAACTGTCTTCAGCTGTCATCCTATCCAATAAATGAAAATACGAAAAATATCTTTTTAAAGAAGCATTCCATATTTTGACAGATCAAGATCACGAGGCGCTGTATATAAATCTTTGTCATACAAACGTTTTTGGACTTTTCCCGTCTATAACCGTCTGTTACCGTATTACTGACCAAACCTTGCCCGATCTTTGTATTTTCTTATCCGTTAAATACATGTAGTTTCTAACTTTGCATGATATTTCCTATTTCAAATACACTTCTTCATGAAACTAGTGACATAAATATATATTTTTTACGGTTTTTTTTCTAAAATTTAAACCAAACTTTTAGATCTACACCTTCATTGATTGTACACACATATTATTCATTTATTCTTAATAACTAAACAAACATGTAAAATACAACGTGTATATATATATGCCATATTATTGACGTTATTCACACACGTGTATTATTCTTTATGGACTCATAGATAAATATTCTCTGACATCATGGAACATTTTATTATAACATTCTTCTCACTTGTCAGTTCATTAAAACACGGATTTATATTACAATAATGTAATATAAATCCGTGATTAAAAATTTCTTTTAATTTTCCTATCACGAGATTGTAAAGATGTTCTTTAAGACAACATTTGAAAAAAAACACCATGAATTGTTTTTATCAGTTTCCATAACTTATTTATAACATAATTACTTAATTACTTGTCTTGACTTCTGAAAATAAACAGGTGAGATATAGGCAGAAACTTTTTTAAAATAATATACATTCCTGATATAAGACGGACATTCTTGAAGATGATATATACTATCATTTAAGTACTATCTGACGCTTCTGATACATATCTGGGGCAGATGATACAAAATAATGAAAATAACATATCTTTTCATTGTTCTTTAATTAGTTAACCAAGGCAATAGCAATACTAAAATTCTATAATTCCAGTTTGTTATTTTTGTCCTTGCTTTTTTTCTTCTATTTTTCATTGAAACGATATTTGTGAGAACACTACTGTAGAAATCCTGAGAAAACCGTGCAAAAATACGACCGGGCCTATCTAAAAATAGTGAGAATGCAAATAAAAAGTAAGGCTAATAAAGACTTCATCTTATTTTACGGGTGGCAACTAATGTACAGTCAGTAAATATTTTAAGCGTATTCTTTATTAATGCAACAAACTACACTGATTTAACGCGGACGATAGCTATTTTCCGTTTTCGACATAGCCAAAAAGCGGAAGTAAATGTTTATTATGCGCGAGCCTTGATATACACAGTGCGCATGCGCAAACTGTGAGCCATTTTGGAAATGAAAGGAATCGGAATCGCAGATTTTTTGTCAACATTGGCTAATTTCTATGACAATTGACATTAAATTACAAACAATGCTAACAGTTTCATTTGACAATGAATCAACGGAGTCCAATACAACCCTATCTTAACAATTCACTGGCTGTGCGCCAGGAAATCCAACGATTTGAAAGTGTTCATCCCAGTATTTACGCGATTTATGATTTGATAGATGCTATTCCCGACCCCCTGATACAACAACAGATAAGAGAACATGTTGTTTGTATTGAAGGTGAGACTCTTATGTTGTATGTGTTTCTATATGCAGACTGTTTGCTAATAACTGGTACTCCTAGACAGAAAAAATGCAATAATGTTAAGTGGGTGGGGTAGGTTGACAGCTTGAAATTTTGTTTAAAAAGATGTTGTTATTCAAGGAATGTGTTGTGCATGTGTCAAGGTCTAGAACAATTCACTAACACATGCGATTGCGAGGCAAATTCCCTTGCAGCTGCAAAATGATGTCTTAGTTGTGACTCTGAAATTAACTTATTAAGAACAAACGGCATGCGTGACGTCATTTAACAAGGCCAGTCCATATATTTAATATAATAAGACTATGTGATCGTAAATTCCAATCATCTGCTAGTAATTATAAGGACAAATTATAACAAATCAAGAAGAAATATTTAGTATGCTCACTCAGATGCCGTTGTATTGTTAATTTGTTGTAAGTATTGACATTGACTTCAAATAAAACCCAATTACCCCTCACAGCTGTAGGTCTGAGCAGCCCAAGCGTCATCGTATTGTACATGTGAGAAAGCTATGCAGCTAGCTTAAAGAAGGCTGGTGGCTCTACTAAGGTGCCAATCTGTGCTTAAAATAATGTACAGAGGGATACCTCCACCAGTAAAGCTGGAAAGTTGCCATATTTCCTTAAATGTGTTGGAATCAGAAAAAAAAATAGACAAATGACTGGAAATATTTTCAATTGATGTATCTTATTTAACCATGATATAACCCAGATGCTAATAGCATGACGCCATGTTAGACTGGCATTGTCATGCAGATCAGCATCAGTAACAACTCTTTAGAAATTAGAAAGATTAACAGCAAATAATTGAAATTGTGAAATCTGTTTTCACTATTTTATATATTTATTGTTTCTTAGACAAATGATTAGTCACACTTTTACATGATGTTTGGTTAGTTGGGTTCCAGTAGTCATGGTGGTTGTATACCTCACTGACTGTTTTATTTGGTAATTTGCAGTGAAAATAAATATTAAAAAATTGAGGGTACCAGTAATTGATTGCACAGACAGCTCATAAATACTTGAAGAGTCTTCATGATTAATTTACCAAAACCATAAGGTTATTATGCTATTCACAATTGCAAGTCTGTATGTTTTCTGAAAATTCTAATATTGTATATTAATCCGTCGTATTGGCCACAGTTAATGTTCTAGAGCGTCCTATACAGTCGTTTTTTATTTTTGAAATGATAAATTTGAAAAGGTTGGGCTTATATACAGAGCAACGGCCAGCTGTCCAGAAAATACTGTAGATGTTGTTATATATATAACAAAACAAATTCTTAACATTTTAAAATTAATTAATTTGAGTTATATTTAGTACAAGAATATAATATGAAGGAGTATACTTTACTACAATATTCTTCGTCCGATGAAGTGTTTGACTTTAGAAATTATAAAAAGTTGAGCGTGACCTTCGCTCATTTTTATCCAACAGTTGACTGTTATAACCAATAATTATGAAATGAAGAAGATGTAGATATTTTGCTGTAATATCAATTTTCTCTGAATTTTGCATTTCCACTTATTTGGATAATTCATGCTGCAATGCTAATTGCTATTAATGAGCCTTACTCTTTTGCACAGAGATCAGTCCTGACTTCCAAGTAAATCATAAATATTTTCATTGCTTGATGAAATGATGGAATATTTCAGAACTAAGATGCATCATTATGACATATACTGAGTAAGCTAGCAATCAAATGTTGTAACATAGTCACCTTATTTTATCATGCATGTAAATCCCAATTTAGTTCTCAACTTCCGTAATTTCTAGGTTTTGCAAAGATTTAACCCAGCATTCTGAATAATGTCAGGTTTTTGTCATCTGTACTGCCATAACTAGGGCCTATGATATTAATACATGAATAGTGCAAAAATATCTAAAGAGGATGTTAGATAATATAATAGTAAGTCTTTGACTGAAATGAGTTTATTGGTTTTAGTAACTAGGATCTATGATTTTGATACTTGACAGTCTATAAAACAGGACACACAACTTGATGTCTGAGGCGTGTAAAATCCAATTTGGGTTTGCAAAATTCCATAGATTGTAGGCCTGTGATAATCTGTCCAGTCCTGTACCTTTCCCTAGGTTAAAGGCCTAAATGTCCTATGATCCTGTAATGTTATTTCACAGGCTACTTGATGTTGCAAAAATATATAAACAGGATATCAGATAATATAATACAATGTCTTTGACTGAAATGAGCCGCGTCAGGACAAAACCAACATAATGGGTTTGCGACCGGCATGGATCCAGACCAGCCTGCGCATCCGCGCAGTCTGTTCAGGATCCATGCTGTTCGCTTATAAACCCTTTTACAAGTAGAGAAACTGATAGCGAACAGCATGGATCCTGATCAGACTGCGCGGATGCGCAGGCTGGTCTGGATCCATGCTGGTCGCAAACCCATTATGTTGGTTTTGTCGTGACGCGGCTCAAATGTGTTTATTGGTTTATTTTATAGTTTCCAGTGTGTTGTTGACAGTTGTTTTTCTTTACATTTTGTTCAAAGTCATGGATGTATTAGAAAACTAGTGATTAAAAAGTCATGTATCATAGCTTTATCTAAAGTATAAGAGTGCTAAGCCTATAATAAAAAATATTATAATATCAGAACAATCAACAGGGAACATATCATGTAGAAATGATGAAGTGGAAAAAAGACAGCTTTGAGGAAGGAAGAACACAAATTTATATTAAGCACTCATTATTAACTGAAGTGTCAAAAAACTAGAAAAAAAACAAACAATTATATAACTGTAATGATTTGTGTATAGTTAATTGCGTGGTTGTGTTTGATAGATAATAGTAAATGCTTGAAAGTGGATAATTCATGAAGAAAATTGTTGTTTTTTGTGACTGGAACAAAACAGGTCATAAGAATTTTAGATATTAGTAATATTATAACTTTTTATAAAAATGGGTTTCATATATTTTAGGCCTTGCATGTAGTTCAAAGAAGGAAGACAGGGCTTGCTCCACAGGTAGGGAGATAGGTGCCCGTCCCATAAAATTGAGGAAAAGTAACACTGGTCAGCTGTTTATTTTTTGCGAAAGGGAAAGGGAAATAATAAACTTGGTGTATTAAAATTGAATTTTAAAGAATTTTTTACTGGCAGGATGCCACCCTTCAATGGCCTTTGCTATAGAAAGAAAAGACTTGCTGGAGAGTAAATTGTTTAGTACATGTGTAGATGTAAGACATTTGTCAGAGAACAGTTTAAGTGTATTGGTAACTTGGTCCTAAATGAGCTTTGTTGACTTAAAGTCCAATATTGAATTTAAATTCAATAGCTTACAGTTTCAAGCCAAGGTCTCATGCATTAAGTGAATAGTAAGGGTTTGCTAGAATCCTTGATAAAAAATCTTTGACTTAAAGGTGCAATATTTCTTTGATAAGACTTAGCTTCTTCTAATTTCTTGAGAAAAAAACAACAACATTGATTGCATAGAGATGCAATACTTGATTGCTATTGGTCAAAAAAGTTGTGTTCTTTTGAGGGTCAATATATCTAAGATGAACCTTGCTTTTTGACCGTTTCACTTTAAATTAGGAAATTTTGTACCGTCCTTGTTATTCAGTTTTTAATCTTCTGTACATATACATGAACATATATGTATAACATGAACATTACCCTACAATAATGAATATAGGTAAGTGTTTCAAGTCTTCAATAGTATTCTAATTCAATGTAAATGAATTCATTATTTTTGAATAAACAATCCAAACATTCCTTGGATGGAATTTTGTTTTAAATTATATCTCGAAAATAGCTTCTCACTGTACCATTATGTTATTGATATGTAAGGGAAATTAGGCAGGCTTTCATCTTGAAAACAGAGTTAAGTAGTAACTGTTAAAGCATAAGGAGTTTCTTGTTACAGTAGAAGTAAAAAAGAAAATGACATTAAAGCTACTTGAAAAGAAAACTTTATTTAATTTGTTTTTAACTTGATGTAGGTTTTGTTAAAACTTTTAATTACAGGTGTTTTTTTTTTAATGAGATTAGTTTATTCAAATTCCTTGCTGCTGCAATGTATTTTAGTTTTTAATATTCATATAATGGACTTGCCCTGTTTAAAATTTAGATTTGTCCATTGTTATTTCAAGGGTGTTGATGGTAAAACTCTTAAAACTCGACTTCCCAGCAAACAGACTGCATATTAATTTTCAAAAATCTGTACTGTGTAGATAACTCTTGGATATCAGGTCTGATTCAGTAAACCTTATTTGTCTCCCTTGCTTGATGATATTCCAAGTCACTTTCAGATCATTAGGAGGATAAGCAAAAATGCATACTGGGATGTTGATTAAATCGGTTTTGAATGGTGATTTTGGAACATGTTGATGTATTAAGAAAAACAACTGCAAGTCATTTTCTAGTAATATCTACATAATGGCCACACATGATGGTTCATTTTATGTTCATTGGTATCTGTCAGTCTGTTTGTAATATGCATGTCTAGACTATAATTTTTCATTAGAACTGACAATGTCTTACCATTAGAGTAGAGAATAACTTGTTATTATAACAGACTTCATTAAGACGAATTTTGTTAGAAGTGGGGCTTTACAGATAATTTCTCACAAATGTTCACCTAGTATAGTAAGGCAATTGCGCAGTTTTCATATGTTGCCAAAATGTTTTGCCCCTATTTGAAATTTATATATAAACTGTTGTGTGTTCCGATGAATTTTATGTACATAGTGCCCTCATTACAAACAAGTGATTGAGGGTTTTGGTGTGTATCAATTTCTTAGGTAAGAAAATAAGACAACTCTTTTTCTTCGTACTAATAAATTATATGTAAAGAATGAAGCACTTTTATTTTGAAACCAAACTCTTAGAGTGGATCTATCTTGTATTTATAAGTCTTATGCACTTCCTATTAGGAAAGTATGCATTAAACTTAAAGCTAGTCACACTCTTAGATTTTTTCTCTGGGAAACCAAAAAAAAACGACAAGA